CCCCCCCCCCCCCCCGCGAAAGAGCCCACAGCGCACGGGGGCACGAGGTACCTGTCCTTTTTTGAAAAATGCATTGGGAATTCGGCGCGGTATTTTGTGCGAGATGGATATTGGTTTTCGCGCGCGGGGAGGTGAACCTGAAGTTGTAATTCTTGGGAGAAATCTTCGGTGCATTGGGGTGAATAAGCGTGAAAGACTTTTTAAGTCGTAGGGTTTCTGGTGGTCTGGAAAACCCCTAAAAGGTAGGAAATTCGCAGCACTTGTAGCATTCAGGGAAAGCACCCCCTCCCCCTCATAATAGCATAAATAATTCCTGTGGATAAAACATAATGAAAATGAGCAACAACAAAATAAGTGTCATGCAAACAGACATCAACAGAAGAATTACTAAGAATAATTTTGGTTAATCCAGTTAATGCTCGAGTATCGTTTAGTAGGAACCATCGTTTTTTAAAGAATAAGAACCCAAATAGAAGTTTTGTTCGAAGGTCAGGGAATTTGACAATTTTGGAGTCGGGGAAAGTTGAGAAATCGGAATTTTTTAATGCGCAAAGATTTGGCGCAGAAACACGATTATTATACTGTGCTATTAAGTAATTTTATTTAAATTTCAGTTTTTTTCGTCATGCTCTCATCAAGCCAAAGCAATTGGTCTAGAGCAACCTATGTTAAAATCCACAATTTTAACTCTTCGGACATAAGGGTTTCTTGAAATTTAATTGATTTCTATCTCTGATTATTCTTTATGAAATTGCATTTTCGAGCTAGAAAATGACATTTCATTAAAAATTATTGACTCGCGATAAGTCCAATCAACAGTCGTGGGTAAAATAAACTATTACCAGTGGCTCAATACCGACTGACGACTGTATGCGTAACTGACTAGAATGCCTAGCCAGATTGTGTAAAAGACCATGACCATGAAAAAAGGAAATTTAGCCTTCAAGAATGATTCAAGCAACCCGCACGACCGGAGAGTTAAAATAGTTGCATGCGGCATCAGTCGAGTTCGGATTCGGATTCACTGCTTGGACGCGATGACACACTCCTGCACGCCGATTATTGAAACTTATAGACAAAGCTATAGACAAAGACGACAAAAGGGATTTGGAGAGATCCCATTGGTGGAAGCTGGTGGTGGCAATGGAAATAGGAGATAGGAAATGGACTGACTAACGGCAACCCACCGAAGACCCGACAGTTAGTCCATCATTTTCTTCCTTAGTCTATAAGAACCAACCATGTCAACCAATAGGATCGCTCTGTACTCCCTATGTCTTCTTTGTCTATCGCTTGTACTCCCTATGTCTTCTTTGTCTATCGCTTGTACTCCCTATGTCTTCTTTGTCTATCGCTTTGTCTATCAGTTTCAATAATCGCCCCGCTGGGGCCATGGCTATTGTGTTTTCATGATTTATTCTTTATGAGCGTTACATTAACTATGCAATTTTTTTGTGCTGCAGGTCGTCGGTGTGGTGCGTGCGTGATGTAGCCGGCGTGACGGCGGGTCGCGGTCGGCGTGGCGTGATGTCGGTGGAGCTCGGCGTTGGCGGTCGGGCGCGGTAACCGGAAGAGCCGGGCCGAGCAACTGTGACGGGCGTCCAGTCCGGGATCATCCGCCTCCAGCATCCGGAGTCCGCCTCCGCCTCATGCCGCAGAAGTAGTCCACCTCCGCACGCGAGATGAGCGCATGCTTCCTCCTCGGCCTCCTCTCCTTCCTCGCCACCGAGGCCCGGGCAGCCGGTAAGTCCACCCAGAGATACTATCTAAGCATGAATTGGATATTTTGCAAAAAGAAGCGACTATATCTGGCTCACTTTAGAAACAACATATCGACGGTATAAGTCGGCAATCACATAACTCGTTTGCGGTGTCTAAAAATCTCCGCCTCTATGTTATTTTCTTAAGGGAGAACAAATTGACATCATTCCTTGAAGTTTTTGCAGAATTTTCTTCGCATAAAGAAGAAAAATCATGACAGTTTTGAAGAATTGCCGTTGAGTAGTTTTCCGTTTAAAAAATAAAGTATGATAGGAAGTCTGCGACGTCGCAAACCGAGTTATGTGATTGCCGACTTACACCGTCGATATCTGGCTCACTTTAGAAACAACATGTATGGGCCGCGTGAAACAGAAAGGAACCAAGCCATATCAACTATCGCCAAGCTTGATTGAGCAATTTAATTTTTTGTGTGAAAACGGTTTGCGGATTTTCGTGAAAATTTCAGTGAAAATTCTCCATAGTTTGAAGCAAATTCCTCCAAAATTTCCAAGGAATCCGCACAAACGTTCTCTCGTAAAAAAGTTAATTGCCCTGCTAATTTTGGAAATAGCTGATGTGGCTTGGTTCCTTTCTGTTAACTCGGTCCATACATGATCGGTTTCTCTATGCAGAAAGGTGCTTTTATGGAAGAGCCAGAGATTGTGATTCCGTGTATTGCAAAAAGTAATCTGATCGGATTTCATTCCGTCAAAAGGAACCAAGAGCAACCCGATGTTACTAAGATCGCGCTACTTACATTCTCTGCAATAAAACTGAAATCACGCAAAACTTTTTTACGAAGGTAATTTCTGTCTCGAAATTACAGTCTATTGGCAGTAAAGATAAAACTTGTTTGGATGATTACTTTTAGTGTATTAGTGTAATAGTTTATGGTTAAAAAAGTTGCACGATCTTAGCAATATTGGAATACTTCTGGTTTCTTTTTCACAAAATCAATATAATTATTCAATGTGCAAGTTATGGTTGAAATTCGTGATGCAATGAGGCTACTCATGAAATAAGCAAGGCTCAAGATCGGATTTTTGACCCCCTTCTTACCTCCCGTAAGGCATTCGTGTTTGTTGCGACAACCGCGTCTATCGATCTTTTTCCATAGGTTTAAACGGCAGATCAGTCCACGTATTGCAAAGCACGCTACACCACTGCTGAAGTCATAAACACAGATTTGTCATGATCAGAGACCGACCGAAAGTCGAATACATGGGACTATAACTTAAGTTTGGAGCATGTTTGACCCGGAGAAAAACTGTTTCAGCAACCCGTATCCCTGGATAAAAGTCACACGGCTAATTTGGGTCGCTTACAAAACTCCTCGGAACTCATCAGAAAATGGACAAGTTCCGTTTTATCGACCATTAGTTCTCCCGGGTCGAGGACAGAGAGTCCATTCGTCACCCATGGGCGAACGAGTTCGTAAACGTTATCCAACGGGGAACTAGACCCGGAGTGAAGCACGAGTTGCCAGCCAATCAAGTGCACTTAAGAAGAGATTCGCGACACACACAGTCACACAGGCAACTCGGAATAAACTTTCCTTCCGCACGGCGCGCGGTGCAGCTTAGAAAAAGATTTTCGCCGCCAGTGAGCAGTGACTCGGTTGAAAGGGAGGACGAGGACGCCAGGGTCCGGGCTCCGGGGGTAGGTAAGTTTATTACACAAGTTTCTTCGAGCTACGTTTTATTTTAACGAACGAAGCAAGCGCACTTAAAACGGACTGTTACGCAAACATCAAGTTTTAAATTAAATTGCGACCGTTCTGATCGTAAAAATAGATACACACAAAGTGAGTATGACATTTCGAGGGGCTTGCACCCTCCGCGCCTCCAGCCTGCTCCTCTCTCGGGTGACCGTACTGCTGTGCCGAGGAAAAACGCCGTGTGGTGACTCAAACGTTGCCAATTTTTCTGCGATAAAACATTTCTCTTCGAGGAAAGACCTCCACTTCTTTTTTTTAACTTCTACGAGCGATTAATACCTGCTTATCAGGTCATCTAAAATACAAAGCACATTAAATAATAGATATTATAAAAACCAAAAATCGGTAAGTTCAAAGGACTTGACAAATCAATATAAACAATAATACAAATTACTGAATGATCCTCAGGAGAAGAGAGCTAATTTTGAGAAAAATCATGGATATTTTCCTTTAAACTCTTTTGGCACATTAGCCTGCATCGCAAATAAAGCGCCCTGAAAATGTTAAAGAAAATATTTTACACTTTTTCGCGAAATTATGTGTATTATTTAAGGAAATGTAGCAACGTGGCGTTTATACGGCGTTTTCCCTCTCGCGGGAGGATATCAACCCTCTCCCCTTTCGTCCGCACCGATGTCGGTGTTTTAAATAACTTTTTTTCGAATGATTGCGGTTCTAATATTTCTTTTATGGCTGTATTATCATTATTACGTCCATTCACCTTCGCGCTATTTTCGCCGGCGATGGTCCGTATGTTTTTGTTGCCATTTTTCGCGAGGAAGGGGGGACTGGGAGCAGATGAAACGGTGTAATACGGTCGCTTGACTCCATTTCATTTATGAGGTCGGTGTGCTTTCAGAGTTATCTTGGTTCAGGTTTTTTTTTTTTAGATCCGCGGACATATTGTGGATTTCTGCCAACATTCGCTTGATTTGGCGAATGACTCGTTTGAGGTAAATGTTAACGTATACTAGGTTTTTTTTTTTTCATTTTGCTCTTATTTTATTTTTTTTTTATTTTTTGAGGATGCAGTGAACACCGTTTTAAGCGGTATTATGTAAAGATCATATACCCGTCTCATTTGTGACCGTGCATGGGTAAAGAGAAAATATTGAATGGAGGCAGAATAATTTTCTGGGGAAAATAACCAATGTTTTCAAAATTCTATAGGGTTGTACTTAGTATCTGTAGTTTATGTCACAATTTTGACCGCATAACTACGAAAACGCAAATTTAAATTCGCAACATGTGTGCTCTTTTGCGAAAAAAAAAATATTCCCGGATATTTCATTCTTATGGCAGTAAAGGCTAAGTATGCTAAATGGACGTATTTCTGCCAAACGGAACTATGGCATTATGATGTGCGCCCTGTTATGCATATTTTCATATGGGTCTCAGGGATTATGTCTCAGGCACATAGTTCCGTCGGGCAGAAATACGCACACATGTCTCTCAAGGACGATGATCAGTCGGTTGTGTTAATTCTGAAAAGAACTTCGTATTTAAACTGAACAGGTTTTTTGAAAGGAACTGCGATGCGGGCGATTTCTACGAACACAATCCATTTTGATTAAATTCATTTTTATACATTTGTTTTAGCATAAATATGTGCAATTATCTTTCAAGAAAAGAGAATGTGAAGGGAAATCCTCAACGCAACAAACCGAAGTACATTATATGGACGTATTTATATCAAACGGATAACTATGTGCATTAAGATATGAGCCCTGAGACCCGTAAGAATATATACCTAACAGGGCTCATGTCATATTGCACATAGTTCCGTTTGATAGAAATACGACCATATGGTATAGTCTCATCATTGGTTTAAAATTCCTTCAGCAAAAATTCAAAGTATCTTTCTCACAGATGTACTCGGATTCTAGTCGAGTAAGGCGTCCAGAACACTCAACCCATTCCCTTTCAACCCCGGTTTCCAAGAAGTCTACCCCCCCCCAGAGGTCATAGCCCCCTCATAATTTCCCCGGATTTTAATTAGGGGCACGCTCGACTCAGCGGGCCGACAGTCAGGAATTCATAACACGGAACTAAATCATGCGCGCGCTCACTGTCTTCGCGACGCCTTCAACGGAGCAGCAAACTTCTGGCATTACACTAATGTAACGGCAATTAGCAACACGGACGAAATGATAAACACGCCCCGTCACGGCCGGCGTGACACTAAACCCGAGCGCAATCTCGAATATCCGTGTCGTTGCCTCGCAGGGTTGCCGAATCGCGAGCTCTAACCCTCGAATATCCGCGCACACTGGAAAAACGCCGTATGAACCTTTAGACGTTGCCAAATATCTTCCGATAAATCATGAATTTTCCGGAAAATTTGTCAACATTTTTTTTGCACATTTACCGCAGAATTTCGTTCGTAATTTGATCTAAAGTGTTTAAAAATTCCAAGGAAAAATATTCATAAGGTTTTTCAAAAATAAATCTTTCGTGAGAGGCGATTCGGCAACATTCGAATACTCATACGGAGTTCTTCCTCAACGCGGCAGCATAAAGCGCTGCTCTCCGCGTAAGGGCAGCGCTGTTTTTCCGCGGAACAAAAGCTACCCTCATTTGGCGCTAAGCGTGCTAGGCTATTAGACGTACAATACCTTCAGCAAACAAGGCCAAAAGATCCAAGTCCGACACTTGAGGAGCGGTAGGGAATCACGACGCGAATCCGGAAAATTTGTGGTATCCAAAATGCGTGGCACAAAGCGGAATCCAGGGCTCACGAACTTTCGGGACTTGGAGGAGCGGGCCAGGCTTTGTTTACCTCGAACTCGCATGAGAGCAGGTGCTCAAACTTGGGGAAGGTGTTTCTAGGAGCGGGATAGCGGAGGAAAGGCCCACATGCACACCTAACTCAAGACAACTAGGATTCTGTGAATTTTACATCTTGTTATTTCTCCGGATAACTTCAAAGTTCCAGATCCGGAGGAAGTTCCCCTATGTAAATAGGAGTTAGCGTCGCCGTCGACAACGGGAACGCTCCTCCACTCCGGGACGCAAACTTTATTCCTGTTTAAATTTCTGGAATGGAGGCCGGGAATATCTTCGTAATTTGATTAAAAGACGAGTCAGGTTTTATTTTGTTTCAGATTCGTTTTAATTTTAATAATAAAGTGAGTGTGTTTTGAGGTGAGTCCGTTATAATTCAGGCTAAAACTTACTAATTTCAGAAATTGCTGGGCTTTTCTATCCGAAAGCGTTTTTAGGCTGTTAAATCAAACATCTTGGGAGACTATTTGAATCTTATAAT